TATTAAATGTGGTTTTTTTAAAGGCTCAACGAGCTGCTTGGCGATGATAAATGCAAAAACTTAATTTTGTGTAGAACGCAAAATAATAACAGTCTGTTCTACTAACAATGCATTGCTATGGGAATCACCTGATTCGATACAAAACCGCAGTAAAGTTAGCATTTTAATTGTCAGGTCTTAGTTTAAGAGCTATGGGTAAAGATTATTAGGAGCTTTAATCTCTAGATTCAGTGTTAAGGTTATCCAAGTTATTCTTAATAACTGAATTCGGTTTCGAACCCATTGCTTCATAATCCAACGACGATCCACAACTTGCTACTCCACCCAACATGTTGAAAATTAATGTTTTCTCAAATGCTGACCTTAACTAGTTCTTCTGCTTTTCCGTAGAGATGACACTCGGGTGTTTGGCCAAATTCCCGCAGATAGTTGATGAAAAACTCCACCAGCTGTAATGTTCAATTTTAAAACCATCAATTCAGTGAGAGAAGAGAGTTTTCAAAAATGTTCTTTTACCTGCTCCTCTTTAGGGAAATTCTCAGGATTTATGCTGTAGTAAGGAGGATCATGAACATCGTAATCTATGGAGTATTCCACAAAATGATTTGCAAAGTCAAATCCTCTGCAATCTTGTTTCTAAGATAAATTTCAAATGAACTAAAGCTCATCAACTACCTGTAATTATAGCTAGCGTATTCGAAGTCTATCAGAACTAATCTAGGGTCAGCCGGGTTAAAGGCGGTCAAGCTGAGCCCAGCAGGAGCTTCGTCACCTAGCGAAGGAAGCCGAATATTTCCAGATGAACCTTTAGGAAGAAGAATATTTCCTAAATAGATTGGTTTAGAGCTAGGGACAATCAGATTTGATAGGTGCCTACCCTCCTGGAGATCATTGTGACAGAATGTGACAGGGCTCTTGCTTTTGCTTATCATGGTTCTGAAACCAAGATTACCTTTTTGCTAATTTAAATTTTAAGAACATCTACCGCAAGTAGTCCAGTTCTCTTGCAATGTGATCACAAGTCAGTTGTGCCGGAGCCCATTGTGAATATTTGCTAGGGAGAGTTATAGAGTTTTCACCATGGGGAGTGTTCATCAGCTGACAAAGCCACCTTAACAAGGCATAGGTTCAGTTAAGTGAAATTTTAGATAAAATGTAAAGTAACAAGTTTCCCGAAACCAACCGATGTAAGGCATCACAGATATAGTCAGGTTCCTTCCATATTGGAACTTCTAACTGGTGAACCTTGGACAATCGCTTCGCAATTTTAGATGACATAGTTGGCAAAGCAATTTCTCGACATGTCAGTGGGCGCGACTAGAATAAAGGTATTCCACTAACGGTGCAGCTAGAACAATAGATCCTAATCATATAATAGAAAGTCAGTAAGTCCAAAAAGCAATGCCCCAGGTTTTCTGGACTTTTGGTTGCAGTCATACTGATTTCTATAATTCGTATATCTAGAGAAAGATCAAACACCCAAAAT